TTTTCTCTGAATAGTTTCCTGCTTTAACCAGCTTTCCAAATTCATGGTTGTTTATTGGTAAAAAAAAAAAAAACACTTTGAAAAATACACATCTTGCCTCTGACTACAAAGCATGCTGATTTTTATAACGCTCTTAGAATGAACTTAACTTAAAGCAGGATTTTCGAGTCAGACTTAGAGCAAAAAGATTTGAACACTTTGAAACAGATCTCACTACCTGACTAAAAAAGGATGCTGATTTTTACAAAGCTCTTAGAAAGAGTTTAATGTAAATGCCTCAGTCTTGGAGTAAAACAAACACTTTAATACAGATCTCACTAACTGACTGCAAAAGGATGCTGTGTTTTATAAAGCTCTTAAAATTTACTTAACTTAAAGGACCACTATAGGCATCCAGACCACATCAGCGTAATGAAGTGGTCTGGGTGCCAGGTCCAGCTAGTTTTAACCCTTTTTGCAGTAAAAATAGCAGTTTCAGAGAAACTGCTATGTTTACTTTAGGGTTAATCCAGCCTCTAGTGGATGTCTCGTTGACAGCCGCTAGAGGCGCTTCCGCGCCAAGACGCCAGTGTCCATAGGAAAGCATTGATAATGCTTTCCTATGAGACTGGCTGAATGCGCGCGTGGCTCTTGCCGCGCATTCAGCCGATGACAGAAGAAGAGGGAGGAGAGTCCCAGCACCGAGGGAGCCCGGCGCTGGAAAGAAGGTAAGGGATTAACCCCTTCCTCCCCCTTCAGCGCCATGGGAGTGGGACCCTGAGGGTGGGGGCACCCTCTGGGCATTAAAGTGCCAGGAAAACGAGTATGTTTTCCTGACACTATAGTGGTCCTTTAAGCAGGATTTTTGAGTCAGACTTGGAGCAAAAATATTTTAACACTTTGAAACAGATCTCACTACCTGACTGTAAATGGATGCTGATTTTTACAAAGCTCTTAGAAAGAATTTAATGTACATGCCTCAGTCTTGGAGTAAAACTAACACTTCAGGGGGGCGGAGCTGACCAGCGAGCTAAGCGGATGCATGCCACATTAGTTCCCGCTGCTACTTCCTAATGCCTCAACTTTGGCTGCTTTACACACCGGGCAGCGACATACCGGATGGCCAGAAGATCCACCACACCATGAGGGAACACTCCCGCATGTCGCTTAAGGGCTGACCACAGATATAGGCCTGCTGCTTACTCAGCCGAGTAGACCCATAGTGGCG